ACTGCCCCACAAATTAGTATTTCTTACTGTAGGTGAGGCTTCACATGATGTTTGGTGACACGTGAGACTTAAGGCCACATCCTGAATTGTTGTATTTCCATGAATAAGTAAAAGCCATGAGCTGATCAGATGGGCGGTGGTGTGCACAATACTCTGTTTTGTGGGGATCCTGGGTTTGGGAGTGACCTTGAGGCTTTGCTTCCTCAGGCAAACTAGGGCTTGTAAGCATTACAAAGCCTCCCTGGAGAAGCTGGCGTTTTTCAGGGAGCTTTTGCATTCCCTGCTGCCTGATTATTCAGCCTCGGAACAGGATGCCTATCTTCCCAGCCCCGGGGTGAATGTAGGGTTTGCAGCTGCTATTTTGTGAGCAGGACGTTGCATGGAAGGACAAATCAATTCAAAACTGAGGGGTGAAAAAGGCTGTTAAATGCCACTGCATACCAAGCTACTGCATCAGGGAGTTAAAAACCGCATGGACAGATGTAAGAAGGAGAGAAGGAAAAGTAAATGCAAGAAGGGAGAAGGAGAGATAGGAGAAGTGAAAATCAGAGAAAATTAAATGTGTTATAATAAACACAAACACATAAAGCCACAAAAAGCTCTGAACTCTGAGAAAAATTGGACTGCAAGCTACTCGTGGCCATAGCTGTTGCCGTCATGAGGACCTGAGCAGTCAGAACAGACAGTGGAGCGGTCCGTCAAGGATGGCAAACATCTGGGGCGGCTGCGTCATCTGCCTGGAAAGCCATTGCCACCTTGGAGCCCGAGAAGGTTATGGATTAGTTCATATTAGTCCCACTATTGAATCACAAATGTAAGGTTGTTTCTCACCCTTCTGTCTCTCTCTGGTATTTATAAAGCAGTAAACTAATATCTCCCAGTACTTCTGCACCTGTAAAATCTAAAAAAAAACCCCTAAAAACATTACCATCCCTAAATAAACTGCCTTTACACCAACTGTAAAACATTTACTGCAATAGAGATGTCTCTGAACATTATTCCTAGGCTGAAGTCTGGAAATGAGCCAAACACAGTAACAGTGAAATAAGAAAACAGTGAAACTGTTAGTGCTAGAGAGCAGTTTGGAATTATTTCTAATACAGCTCTGACACTGGGCAAAGGAGAGCTGATTTAACAGATGCTAACCGTATCCTGGGCTGCATCAAAAGCAGCGTGGCCAGCAGGTCGAGGGAGGTGATTCTGCCCCTCTACTCTGCTCTGGTGAGACCCCACCTGGAGTCCTGCGTCCAGCTCTGGAGCCCTCAGTACAGGAAAGACATGGACCTGTTGGAGCGGGTCCAGAAGAGGGCCACAAAAATGATCAGGGGGATGGAACACCTCTCCTATGAAGAAAGGCTGAGAGAGTTGGGGTTGTTCAGCCTGGAGAGGAGATGACTTCGGGAAGACCTTATTGCAGCCTATCAGTCCTTAAAGGGGGCTTATAAGAAAGATGGCGGCAGACTTTTTAGCAGGGCCTGTGGCGACAGGACGAGGGGGAATGGCTTTAAACTGAAGGGGGGTAGATTGAGACTAGATATAAGGAAGAAATTTTTTACGCTGAGGGTGGTGAAGCACTGGCACAGGTTGCCCAGAGAGGTGGTGGATGCCCCATCCCTGGAAACATTGAAGGTCATGTTGGACGGGGCTCTGAGCAGCCTGATTTAGTTGAAGATGTCCCTGCCCAGGGCAGGGGGGGGTTGGACTAGATGGCCTTTAGAGGTCCCTTCCAACCCAAGCTATTCCGTGATTCTATAAAATGCAGAACTCTGCTGTCCTCCTTGATCTTCATTTAAATTTGAATTATATCACTCCTAAAGCATCTTTGAGTATGATAGGCCTTTTTGTTTCAGGAAAAAAAGGCAAGCTGTATGATCTGATGATGTAAGACTTAATCTTTGAGAAACTGTGACTTCAGTGGGAGCATTTATGCATGCTGAATCTGTCTAAAAGTTGCATCACTCACATCTCAGATGGTGTGGAACAGTCTAGCTGGTGACACAGAGTTTATATAAACCCAGTGAAAAGAATTATATCTCCATGCAAAGGTAGTCCCTGCCACTGTGTACAATGCTTATTTAATCTATTACCCTGCACGGGTTTTGGTGAATTCTAGGTGCAACTTCAGCAACAGTGGTGGTTTTGCACTAACCCTGCAATAAAATAGGATAACAAAAATAAAAATAAAGGGGATCCAGTTTGGAGACGGTATCTTTTGTAACTCAGAGGAAAATGTGAGGCATGCCATTTGGGCTTGCTTTACTACATCTCTATGTCTGCAACAGGAAAATTACAATTTTGGCTAAGTACTTTCTCTGTGAATGAAATACTTGCTAAAATATTTGTGTGCGCGAGTATGCATGGTTGCTGTTGTTGTTTTTTTGTCCTGGACATCACAAAGGTAAATGAAGTGAACAGAAACCCTTCTTAGAAATGACCAGAAAGCAAGAGGCTGTATTGTGATCACAGCTGAGCAACCGGTCCTCTTTACCGGTGCTCAGTGGGAATGGCCAGGGATTACTGGTGTGTCAGCCTGGTGTGGCCTGTCCCTCCTCCTGCCCACAAAGGGCTCTGTGGGCCACAGGACGTTTCTGTGGGCCTTTTACAAAAGTGTTATTCCAAAACACATTGTCCTCAGCTGGATAAGGGGTGGCAGTAGCTGGGCACTGATTTGGCTTGGGAAGTTCTGTTGTTTACATTTTATATATACTCTTGCTGAAGGCTAGTGGAACAGGAATTGTGATTGAAGGCCTGTCATTCAAGAAGTGACTTTTCAGTTGAAATAAAGCGATGAAGTTTAATGCATTTTCTGAGATAACAAACCTTAAAATTGAAGTCACTGGTGGATTACATTTAGCATGATTTCTGTGCATGATCTGTGCTGTTAAAAGTTATTTGAACAGCAACATGTCAGATGATGGTTTTCACAGTTCTGCCTTTGTTGTCTTTGTTGGTATTTATAGGAGAAGCCCAGATGTACAAGCTAAAGAAGAACTGTGGAAACATATTCAGTAAGTACGGTGCTTGTAGGGTCCGAGTGACTGCTTGGTTTGTGTCTAATGTACTCACATCCCCTGCACTGTGGCTCTAAGGCATTACGTTTTTATTTAGTTATATGCCACAGTAAATTATGCAGGTTTTAATGACCTGCTATGTGTAGAAGATACTGCAGATCACTGAATGCACTGAATACAGATGACTGTTGTATGTAGATGAATTATTAAAGAAGAATAGAGCATTTTAGAGATTTATTCCTCTGGGGCTTCCAAAATGTCCTTGTTTGTAATACTGACACTTTTAGGATGAGGCCCCACATGCTATAGAACAACCAGTTAGGAAGATAGCTATTCCAAAGCATATTCGATGTTCAGTATACACAATGTTCATATGTATTGTGAAGCAACAAGATCAGATTTGCAGGGAGGTGAGAGGAAGGTGGAACAGGATGCGACATGCAGTTGAAGCAATCAAGGTGAAGTTAGACACATTTCTTAATAGGTTTCCTATTTTGATGTCAAGATAGCTTCAGGGCTGACAACAGCTTGTTTCAGTAAATCTTTTCAGCCTAATATAATAAAAATAAGAATGGTTTTGCAGTTCGTAGCTACTGCTACATTTTTTACTTTGCCTAATCCTTTCTAGGAAGGAGCTTGTGGATCCCTCTGGCCTGTCTGAGGAGCAATTGAAAGAAATTCCGTACACTAAAATAGAGTAAGTTTATGTCAGGATTTTTCTTTGTGAATATAAAAGCCCACTTTTCTTATTTTACTGTGAACTCTGTCATACTGAAATAGGATTGGGTTTGCACATAATCTCTAAGCTTTTATCTACTCCAAATGCTTGCTAGGATGGGTTGGGTGAGGATAATTAATAATTTTAAAACCTAATATTTTCTCTTTCCAAAATACAAAAAAATCATCTTCATCTCTCCCTCTCTCTCCCACACACTCATGAACCTGCCAGATGTCTGTATGTTCTGTATGTCTCCCTATGCCATCCATCAATCTGTTCTATGTTATACACTACAGAATCAGAGAGAACTGAATGCGAACAAGCAAATCCATTTATTTCCTAACCTTCTGCTTCCTTTTAAATTTTTATTCCGATCATCTAAAGCACTGTTTGACCTCTTCAACCCCTTTCCTTGCTTGTCATGGGCAGCTGCCAGGGCATAGCTATTTCCTTAAGAACGGACATCTATTTCACTGTGATAATTGCCCATTTGGGATGCTGTGTGTCAGTGCAAGCAGCTGCATGTGGCAGAAGCGGGATCCCGGTTTGCATTATAATGTGCTTCCACAACACCACTAAACAGAAAAGGCTGATGTTAAAGCTCTCTATGTTAATGCATTCTTTATTAAATAATTTGATTCTCAAATATGGGCATGCCAGTTTGTGACCTTTGCACTTTTAAAGCATTGAATTCCAAGTACAGACTCATAAGGAAAGCATCAGCCTTTTAAATTCAGCCAGTGCAAGAAGCCATCTGTTGTACTTTAATATGAAATGGGAGGATCTCTCAGTTTGCAGTTGAATTTATGTTTTTGTGCCGAAGATCTGGTTTACTAACCTACTGTTGTGAATTCTGTGTCTCTCTTAGGACTCAAGGCGACCCGATCCGCATTAGGCATTCACATTCCCCTCGAAGCTACCGTCAGTATCGGCGGTCCCAGTGCTCTGACGGTGAAAGATCTGTCCTGTCTGAAGTGAAGTACGTGAATGTGGTTATTAGCAATGGACTGGTTTACTGTGACCCAAAAGTTGTTCAGAGATCATGGTTAGGTTAGAAGTGGCATAAACGTGGTTGTTTGCTGGCATAGGATTTAGGCAACCCTCTAAATAGTAGGTCTTCAGAGCTAAATGACTTAAGTACAAAAACATTTCTGGTCGATTTTGGGTCACAGAGGCTTGCTTGATCTACTTGGAAGGGGGGAAAAAACTGAAAAAGCCAAAATAAACCTGTATTGCTCTTCAGTGGTAGGTCATGAAGTTGCCTCAGGGATGAGAACTCATGAGTTGCTTTCCAGATAGCTTCATCCTTAATAGAGTTAAGATGTCATCTGTAGTCACTCTGCAACTTGTTTCATGGGAACTCTAGTACAACCCTCATCAGCAATGGGTGGATCAGTCTTTCCTAGAAGACTGATTTGTAAAGGGTGTACTTACAAATGGAAAAGTGTCAGCCCTGTTCTCAGTTTTATTATGCCCTTAAATATCAGAAGCATTCTTCTGATGATATCACTCACTCGGGAGGCTAGTTTTAGCTGGATGGCACCCTGAAGGAGGTGTGGCACACCCATGATTTCAGGTGAGACTCATCTTGCATTAAGTTCCGCTGCCTCTGTAGACCAGGAGGAGACAGGCCCCTTGAGAAGGGATGGGATGACCTATGCCCTGAAGGTGTCCACTGACTACTGAGGATCAGCATGATAGCTTTTGGATGTCTAAAGTCAGGTGATAAGCCTTTTGGATTTTGCCTTTCAGATCTATGTAGCTTTGTGGGTCAGTTTCATTATTCTTCCTGTGTACAGTTATAGTTTACTTCATTACAGCAACATCCATTCTGTAATATTGTAATTCCAGTGCAAAAACTGATCTGGTGCCTCCACTGCCTGTTACACGATCTTCAGATGCTAGAGGTCCCAGCATCCAGTTGACTCAACAGGTTAGTAACTGTGCATCCTTTGCAATTTTCCCTTTTTGGAGAGAAGGGCGGTGACTAGTGCTTTATGTAAATTAGATCTTCATTTTTCAGTGAAAATTAAAGCTGGCTGTGATTTTTTCAGCAGCAGTGTGACTTGAAATTTTACATTTTGCAGTCTGACTACTTTGTTTATGTTTCCTAATATATGTACTTCTATAGCATATGCCCATGCAAACATCTGTTTCTGCTG